GAAACTTTTTCAGCCGGCGTGATCTGTATTGAAAATATTTGAATAGCACATACGCACATTCCGCGTCCAATATATTTTTATTTGCCTCTGTTTCGTAACTTCATTTTCATTTAAATTAGTCTGACCGCATAAAATAAATACTGTCATCGATCAATACTCACCCGGAAGCTCATTTCGAGATTTTCACCGCCCCAAATATCCATGCCCTCGTCATATGCCCCCAATTCGTAAAAATAATCCTTATCAATAGAAAATAAACCGCCGGCCATAGTTGGTGTCCTCAGAGGGGCTGTCCTATCCCCTAATCTCCTATCCATTTCTCTTTGCGCCACTCTGTACCTACAAAATTCAAGAAAATCCACATTAGTGAATGAATATTTAACACATAATTGCGCATAATTGCATACTTGAATGATTGATACCAACTTTAAAATTCTATCAAATAATATTGTAAAAGAAAAATAAAGAAAATATAAGAAATTTTAGATTTTGATTGTTACCGATCAGATTTCGACTCTGTATAGTATCTTATAATATTACTATCTAGAGCTACAAGGCATAAAGTTTTAAGGAATACAGATATATATAGTAATTTTGAAGAGAGACATTTTCTACTATAAAAAAATTACATTACGAAAATATTGGTTGCGTAAGAGAGTTAAACAATCAAATTAATAGATTAAAATTCAAAGACGATCTACAAAATAATTTTCAAATTCGAATTATTATACGGCGATCTCAGCCATTGGGAAACCGTTCCATTGAGAAACCTCAACTTCTAACTAGTTTAATACTACAGAACTTTATTCATGAAGTCAATAGTCCTTACCATCTAAAATTCAGTTTCCAATTGAAACCACCCCATGTCATGTCGCTGGCTGGAATGTACTCAAAGGTATCGTCGCTAATCACATCAATGATTGGACAGACAACGGTGGTCCTATCTTCGGCGATCCGGGACAGCAAAGGCTCCAGCCAACCTTCTGTGCATTCACAATGAGCGTCCAGGAACGTTATAACTTGTCCTTTCACGTGTTTCGCCCCTAGTAGTCTGGCTCTGATTAGACCGGATCTTTTCTCGGTACGGTACACGTACGTAGGGACTGGTAGCGTTTTTACATAATCCTCCAGGTCTTGTTTCAAGTGATCTACGGAGCGTATGGTGTGAGTACAGAAAAAAAAAGCATGGAGAAATGAAGGTGAAATTATTCAAATCACGATGGTTCTTTGAGAGATGATACGTTGTTACGCGGCAGGAACTAGCTGATTCGACAATAATTAAGTTTTACATGTACTTTGCATATTATGCAATACCGTATTTTTACTGTTACTTTCACATTATTTGGAAATGGAAATGGAAATTTCGAGCAAACGTTTCACTAGTGTGAAGAAATTTAAAAACATGAAAAGATAGTGGTCAATATGTGGTTACTATAAAAGATACTGTATACTTCGATGAGTATACAGTAATCCCTCATGAATGTTTTATCTTTTACGTATTAGAGCTACTCGACAGATTTCGAGAAATCTGTCATATTAATTTAAGCAAACTTGAGTTAATTTTAACGACATAAATAATTGCATAATTTCTTTCGTTTGTTCAAGAAGGACCAAACAGAAATCATATTCAAACTACACTGGACCAGTAACCGACCAACAATCTCAAATTTACCCACGAGTAGGCATATACCATTGAAACACAGCGGCCGAGTACACAACCTCACAAGCTCATTGAAAACCGCACCCCCATCTATTCAAACCGCTTGCCGAGGTCAGACCAGCCCAGTTCCTCCACCGCGAACTATCCTCCAGGCTCACCTTGCTCGCTCTTATCGTCCACCAATATGATCTCCTTCAACAGGGTACGCGGGGACCGATTAATGACCGACCAAACGGTCCTCAACAGCGTGCTCCACGCTTCGTTGTGGAACACTACGACGATGCTGGTGTCCGGCAGATATTTGTTGTACTTCTTGGTCTTGCAGCCGTCTAATCGAATATCCTTGAGCGACCGGTTCAACGAGAGCATATCGCTGGCCATCAGGTTGAATTGATTCAGTTTGAAGAGCTCCTGTTGCCTGGCCTCGTCTTCCGGCGAGATGTGCACTGCCGCGCCCATCTCGCCGGGCATCCCTTTATTCTCGCGGATAACCTTCGCCGGCCTCCACAAATGCAGCTCCGACCGTTTGTACCGTTTTCTACTTTGATGGCCGCTCGACTGTATCTGTTCCTCCTCTTTCGACAACGCTGCTGCCTTCGGATGCGGCGGCACGATTTCCTCCGTTAGTATCTGCTGTTGCTGTTGCTGTTGCTGTTGCTGCTGTTGTTTGCCGTTCTCCGTGCAACCCCATCCGGACCCGCCGATGCAGTCCGAGTAGAACATCAGCACCATCACGTCCACCAGGAACCATACCAGCGACGTGAGCAGTATCACTTGACACGTGTGAATGCGAATCTTGGAGCGGAACATGTTGTGACGGGGCCGGTCGCCTGGTGCCCTGAGCTCATCACCCGATTCTTCGCGGTTGGAGGCGCGACCAGCTTCAGCTGTCAGACCAGGCCCGTTCTACGCGTCGTTCGGCTAACCCGGGGGGGGGGGCTCCTCTCAGGGCAGATCAGACGGCACTGTGAGCTATCCTGATCCACTGAATTACATGACTACGACCTGCCTCAGGCTTTCGCGAGCTGCAACAAAAAGCCGAGAGAGAACTTGAGGGACACGATA